GGATTACAGGCATTAGCCACTGTGCCCGGCCCTGATATTTCTGATTAACTGGAAAAACTGAAATATTTACAATTTGGGCCTAAAAAAATAGGTTTGCTCACTCCTAAACAAAATTAACTAAACCTACAAGAGTTTCTTTGCAAACATTAATAATAAACGCCTGATGAAGAACAAAACAGAAAAGACAAATTACCAAAATCAAGAATAAAAGAAGGGATATCACTACAGACTTAACAGATGTTAGAAATATAAATAAATTCACATTAATGAATTCAAAGTGATAGATGAAATGGTTTAATTCCTGGAAAGACACAAAATACAAAATACTGATGAGAGAAATCAAGAGAGAAATGAAAAAAATCACTCAAAATTCTACATACTGCATTGATTTCATTCATGCAACATTATGATAAAGGCAATTGGGTCGGAGAGTAAACCAGGGGCTTCCTGCAGTTAAGAGTCGGGGAAGAGTTTAACTACAAAAAGGTACCACAAGGGAATGTTTCTGGGTGATGGAACTGTTGTGAATCTTGGTTGTGGTGGTGAAGTCTACATGACAATGCAGCTGTCAAAACTCAGAAATCTACACCAAAAGGAATAAATTCTGTTGTAAGTAGAGAAGTTAAAAAAATAAATGTTAAAAACTTAAATGAGGCTGTTTTACAGGTACTTGTCAAACTTTCAAGTGCACAATAATTACCAGCTCCAGTAAAAGTGAAGCAGAAAAAGCCTTTGATAAAATACAATATCCACTCATGACAGAACTTTCACAAACTAAAAATATAATGGAATTTATAAAAATGCTTTCCCCTATGATCAGGAACAAGGCAGAGAGGTGTACCCTTGCCATACCTATTCAACACTGTACTGAAAATCAGCCAGTGTAAGTGAGGCAAGAAAAAGAAATAAAAAGCATACAGATTAGGAAGGAAAAAATAAAACTTACCCTATTAATATACAACATGTGTGTCTATGGAAAATCCCAAGGAATCTACCAAAAAACAAAAACTTCTAGTGAATATAGCAAAGTCACAGAATACGAGGTCAATGCACAAAAATCAGGTATATTTCTACACACTAACAATTGGGAACCAAAATTTTAAAACAACATGATTTAAAATGGCTCTACAATAAATTATATATTATACTTGGGCATATATCTAAACAAAACATGTATAGATCTGTATGTAGAAAATCATAAAAGACTGATGTAAGAAGTTAAAGAATACATAAATGAAGGGACATGTTATATTCATGAACTGGAAAACTCAATGTGATAAAGATAGATCTACTGATTTAACACAATGTCAATGAAAATCCCAGCTGAATTTTTGGTAGACATAAATAAGCTGATTCTAAAATGCATATGGAAAGGCAAAAGAACCAAAATAGCTAAAAACAATTTTGAAAAAAAGAGTGAATTTGGAGGAATTGAAATATCCAGTCTTATTACCATCAAGCCACAGTAAATATGATATCTTGGTACAGGCAAAGAGCTATACACATAGTTCTTTCCAACAGAACATGGTACATAAATAAACCCAAACAAGTGGTGTTGGGATGGTTGGTCATTCATATTAAAGAAATGAACCCCAACTTAACCATCGCATATTGTTAAAAAGTTAACTCAAAATGGATCACAGATTTAAGTTTAAAACCATAAAACTTCTAGAACAAGAGAAAATCTTTATGACCTGGGGCTAGGCAGACTTCTTAGACATGACATCAAAAGCACAATCCAAAAAAGACAACATTGATAAATCAGACTTCATTAAAATTAGAAACTTTTGCTCTACAAAAGATACTATTAAAAGAATGAAAAGACAAGCTACAGGCTGAGAAGAAATATTTGCAAATCACACATCCAACAAAGGACTGATATCCAGAATATATAAATAGCTCTCAAACATCAACAATAGGGAAAATGTAACTCAATTTAAAACTGGGCAAAGCATGCATACAGATACTTCAGCAAAGAAGATATAAGGATGGCAAAGAAACAAAAGAAAAGAAGTATCTGCTGAACACCATTAGCCATTAGGGAAATGTAAATTAAAGTCACAATGCTTAGAATGGCTAAAATTTAAAAAGTAAGGAAAATACTAAGTGCTGATAAAGATGTAAATAAACTGGAACTCTCTACATCATTAGTGGGAATGCAAAATGGTACAGATATTCTGAAGAACAGTTTGGTAGTTTCTTATACACATAAATTTCTCATATGACTCAGTAACCCTATTCCTGGCTTTGTACCCTAAAGAAATAAGCACAAAAACCTGTACATGAATGTTTATAGCAGCTCTATTTATAAATGCCAAAAAGTGGGGGAAAAAGTCTATGAATAAACTGTGGTATATCCATAAAGTGGAATGTTAACCAGAAGTAAACAGAAATGAAGTATTGATACATACAATAACTTGGATGAATGAATGTCAAAGGCAATTTGCTGAGTCAAAGAATCCAATCTCAAAAGTTACATATAGCATCAATTAATTTATATGACATTCTCAAAAAGACAAAACTATAGAGTTTTAGTGGTTATGGTAGTTGCCAGTGGTTACAGGTATGATGAGGGATAACTATAAGGGATAATGGGAGTTTAAGGTGATAGAACTGTTTGTTTCTGACTACATTAATTGTTATACAAACTATGCCTGTGTTGTAATAGAATTCTACTCCAAAATAATAAAGTAGTCAATTTTACTGTAAGAACATTTTTAAAAACTCTGTTTCCTTGTCTGTAAAATGAGGGCAATAATAGGTTTGTTAGAAGAAATAAGTTAATATATATAAATCATTGGAAATATAGCCTCAGTTATAAGGCATGATCTATAAATGTTATCATTTCTAACAATTTGTTTCTTAGGGATTTTTTTTTAGATTATCAAAACATAACCAATCATTGCTCTTCAACTCTTCAATACTCTGAAATAGTTGGTGGTGGTTTATATAACCTACCAATATTAAGTGAAATTAAAGAATATCTCCAGGGGTTATTTCTATTCTATTTTGATACCTAATTTCAATTCTACACTGCAAATCCTTGATGCCAGCTGACCGTTGAGTAGCTACTCCAACCATAAACCCTTACCAACCTTGTACAATGTGCTGGGCACATGGAGAAAAATATGACATGGTCCCAGAAATAGAATAACTTCCAGCATATGGTTATAGATAAAAAGAAATGAGAAACAAAAAGTCAAACTCTATACTGGAAAAAAAAAATCATCACCATCTTTCTCCAAGGTACAACTCTCTTGTGTTCCCTAGCTTCCTCCAGTAAGTACCATCTTCAAGCTGCAAAAAATGAAAACCTTAGAGTAGCTGCTGGCATTTCCCTTTCACAGTCTTGCATATAAGCAATTTATGATCATCAGTGTTTGACAATTTTGACAATCAATCAATATTATAATAACTGGATGTTGGAGATTTCCTTTAAAATACAAAAACAAAAAAATAGGGACAGGGAATTGATAGAAGACTGGCAAATGTTAACAAAGGTTGAAGTTGGGTGATGCTTCCACAGAATTATTTTAGTCATATTACATTTGGCTATGCTTATAAATTTCCATAGTAAAAACTTAAGGGAAAAATAAAAGCTATGAAGCCTATTTTGCTAAACATGGGTAAAAATCCAAAGAGAAGATCACCGAAGAGGAAAAGATTAAAATATTAATATTGTTATTGTTATAGCCTGTGGTTAGCATAAATTTTTTCTTTTATACTTTCTATACTTTCTTAATCTTTTACAATATGCAATCATTTCTATAATCAGAATATGAACTATAAATATTTCAAAAAAAATTAAGATGACTTAAAAAACTGATAAAAAAAGTCAAAGCTCATTAACCTAACTTTCATGGTCCTCTAGAAAAATCCAAACATGTCTTCTCAAGCTGATACTAAACACATCAAGAACTAAAGCAGTGGATGGAAACTATCTGACTTCAAATCCCAGCTTAGGATCTTACTACCTGGGTGACCTAAGATAAACAACCTATGCTCTTTGTCTGTTTGCTTATCTTTAAAATGGGAATGGTAGTACCCAACCCAGCCTCACAGGGCTCTTGTGAGGATTAAATATGTTAATTCATATAAAATTCTTAGAATGATCAGCACTAAATGTTTAAATACTATCATTATTACTCATGAACAAGTACTCCCTCATCCGTTCCTGCATTTATTCGACAAATATCTGGGCATCTTTGAGCAGAATTTGCCAATGAATGAAGGAAATATCGTCTCCCCTGAAAAGAAAGGATGATAAGCACTACTCAGGTGAGAATCTGCTTCCAGGTGCCAAAGGGTCATTCCCTCCTTCTCCCTGCAGCCTTTTTTCAAGAAGTCAAGGCTAACGAAGGAAAGGAGGCTGGGAGAAATCAGAACTCCCGCATGAATTACAGTGGACTTCCCAGACAGGCAGGAGTGACCCTCTCCTAAAGAAAAATCTCTCAGTGATCAGAGAAGGACCAGGGATACTGCAGCTGGAGCTCTGACCCCATCCTAGGTTCACAGAAGCTTTCAGGGTATTGAGTGCTTCTCAGAAAATGAAAAAGTCCTAACAACAAGAGACCCATCTTCTACCACTGTCAGGCTATGTTCTAAGTCTTTTTATTTAACTTTGAAAAGAACTCTATTAGATAGATACTAATACCATTTTAAAGAAAAAGAAACATAGGCAGAGAGATTAAGATACTCGCCTGTTATTATACTGTTAGGAAGTGGCAGAGCTGGCTGATGGTCAGGGGAAAGGGCTGGGGGAGTACAGAACCCAAGAGACTCCCAGTCCTTGCGATGTAAGATCCTGGATCCCTGGCCCTAAGTGGGGATGCGCAGCCGTCCCACACTGGAGAAGGCTCATTCAAAGAAAATACAAATCCCGCCCTTTGCCCCAAGTGGATTCTCCTCCCCGAGAGTGACCGTTGGGTTGCTACCGGCTCCCAGCAAAACGAACATCAGTACGGACGGAAGGAGCAGGACGCAGAGCGGGGAGGGCTCACCTTTCTGGGAGGAACGAAGGCCGCGGCCTAGCGTACCTGGGCCGGAAGTGACTCTGCTTACAGAGACCTCCCGGACTACGCTTCCCAGAATTCCCGATGGGATTAGAGACGGAGCCTCAGCCTCCTATAGCGGAAGTTACCCGACTACACGAGGCTCCCAAACTACACTTCCCAGAATTCCTAGGAAAACTCTCCATCTCTTTGCCATCTGCATCTGACTGGGAAACATCTCCATCTGCACTGACTGGGAAGCAAGTGCAGGCTGCCAAGCTGAGAGCCTGGATTGTATTTCACCTGTGCCGGTCCCAGAGGAATTCCTTAACTTCCCCCTTCCCGAAACCGAAATGCCTCCAAAGATAGAGAGCTCGTATATATATTTCTCTATTTTCCCCAGCGGACTGTGCGTAAAAGGCTCCTTTCCTGGAGCGGGTGTCTCTGACCCTGTGGATCTTCTGGACAATTCCCGGAATTTCTTACAGGGCAGCACTTCCCTTTAAGTCGTCTCTTTCTCTTTTGGACAGTCAGTATTTGCATAGACACTATTCTCTTTTCGTTAGTCTAATTTTATACTTCTAGGCCAGCTTTACTGCCTTCCCCCTAGAGTTTTTGTTTTTTTTTTCTTAACCGCGACACAAACCCAAATAAAATCGACCAAAGCGGGCTCTACTTACCTACCGATCAATCAACCAACCAAGAAAATACCCCATAAAGGAGAGAACGGAGAAGCTTGCAATACGAAAGAAAAAACCAAAAAATTACAGAATGGAAGTGATGTGTGCGCTAAAAATGCACGTACTGAAAGGAAATTGGGCTGATGTATACCGGACACCGAATTTAAGGAATACAAAATCTCAACCTTTCTTTGACTGGATTACCTTTTTATTCCATTTCCATGTGGACGCGTCTGAAACTGATAGTGCTTTTGCTACCTACCATAATGTATTTTTTGCAAGATCCACAAGAACATGGATGCCAAGAATCCACAAAAAACAGATGCAACCGCTGATGAGGCCATAAGCAGATGGTTCCCACGTTTCCTTGACTTTGACTACTGATGATGAAATGCGACTCATAAGGCAAATGGAAAGGCTGTATTGATACAGACAAAATGTTATTATTATGGGAAGGCACAAGTCCCTTATAACATCCTGCATTTTTTTTCTTCCTTGGGAAAATTTATTACATCACCTATTTTCACCCTGCTCTTGTTATCATAAATACTGTAAGTTGTCTTATGGAAGGCAGAATGATTCAGGGAAGATGGTGAATGGGTTGACACGATCCAGAAAAGGAAGAGGAAAATAAAAAGGTATAACGGCCAATCTGTGAAAATGCTCAATGGCTTAAAAGACACTATTAAGAGATGAGACTATTTGATTATTTAACGACTCCTTTCCAAGGAAATGGTTTTGAAAATACATGTGGTTTACATATTAAAGAGGATCAATCTGATAATATGTGGGTAACCCCCCATATAGGCACCGAAGAATGAGAGCTAAGCAGAACCCTGGCACAGTTAGGGCTTGAGGAATATCTCACTTTATAATGTTACTACTCAGCTATTTCCTTTTATATAATCCTTTACATAATCATATATTAACTTATAGAAATAGGGCGTGAAGTCTCCCATTATATAATCCTCTATATATAATCAATAGTTGATAGTATGAGTGCCTAAAGAATATTTCCCTACATATATGCCTATAATAATATCTTAGTTCATAATCGGAGGAATGCCTAGAGTGGACACAGTGCAGAGCATGAATTAAGGAATAAGCAGCTTATAATCGGAGGAATGCCTAGAGCAGACACAGTGCAGAGCATGATTTAAGGGAAAAACAGTTATACCAGGACAAGAATCCATGGCTCAGGTGGCAGCGTTCTGTATTGTAAAGATACCCGCTGTATGGCAGGCTGGGGGCGAGAGCCACTCCTCCTGATAAAGGAGTTGTAGGACCTTGTTCCAGTTCTTATGGAAGGCTGCCCTCAGACCGGCAATCCACCTTGGTGACTGTGAACTTTAGCAGCTCTTGCTACTGTGCTGCTTGAAAAGCATCTTCCCATAGAACCCATTGGAAGCTGCCAGGAGGTGGCAGTAACCTTGACAGCTTCTGTCACTGCTATGTGACTTAAAGCATCCTCCTATAAATCTTCTTAGAAGTAGTTTTCCCATAGAAGTATCGCACACTGCACCCTCTTCACTGTGCACCGCCCTCCTTCAAGCCTCGGTGACCTAATGGTGGTGGAACCCTTACTGCACACCGCCCGTGCCTTCGTGGGAACCGGCCCCTTGCTGTGCACTGTCCACCTCCTGGCCTAGGTGACCTAATGGGGGTGGACTCTATGTTTTATTGTTCACGACCCTATCACTATCCTTAAAGATGATTTCACTCACTGCCCTGCCCCCTAACCTATACACAATAAATACTCATGCTTTTGGACATCTGGGGCCTCACCAGCCTCGCCTGACTCTGCTTATACGTGGTGTGGCCCCCGAGCCCAGCTGCATTTTCTTTGTACTTCTGTGTCCTGTCTCTTTATTTCTCGGATCCTGTGCCTCAGCACAGCATAAGGCTCACCCCACGACCCTGTAGGGCACTCAGCCCTACAATAATAGATGAGGTTTTTTTATAAAATGAAAGGAAAATTTAAAAATAAAAGGGACAGAATGATGCTTTGAGTACTTCCACTTCCAGTAATAATAAAATGAGTGATTTGGAACAAATATCTGGCAGACGAAAGGTGGGCAAATTTTTCAAATGTCACAAGGCATCGAAAGACAACCGAAAAACATCGTTTATTTGAATAGGAGAATGAGGGCATACATATTAAAAATAAAAAACAATATAATTTATTTATTCCATTATATCCTCCACTACCCACTCTCATTTTCTCCCCTGTTGCATCAGTAGCCAGGCTTATCTCTTTAACGTGTGCCTGTTTTTGGTATGGCCTTTTGGCAAAATGTGTGGAATCTGGGGTGCATATGTATAGTTTGTGTTATAAAACTCTTAAAATTTTTCACTCCAAACTATGTTTTTCTCAATATTTTACTACAAAATTTTTTTCAAGACAGGGTCTTACCTTGTCACCTTGGCTGGAGTACTGGTATGATCACAGTTCACTGCAGCCTTGATCACCTGCGCTCAAGCAATCTTCCCATCTCAGCCTCCAAAGTAGCTGGGACTATTGGTGTGCCCAACCACATCTGGCTTTTTTTTTTTTTTTGCAAAGATGGGGTCCCACTATGTTGCCCAGGCTGATCTCAAACTCCTGGCCTCAAGTGATCTTTGCACCTTGGCCTCCCAAAGTGCTGGCCTTACAGGCAGGAGCCACTGTGCCTAGCCCTGAAACTTTTTAACGTAAAGAAGAGTTGGAAGGATTATACAGTGTTTACCTATATATTCTCAGCGTAGATTCTAATATTAGAAACATTTATTTCTTAGCCATTCACCTAGCCATGTTATCACTTATCTATTCATCAGAACATTAACATTACCCCCCAAATTCTCTCATGACACTTCCCCATCAGTCTCTAACCCCTTCCCCCAGTTGCAATCACTGTTCTATTTTTTCACCATAAATTTTAATAATTTTAGAACATTAAATATATGGAACCATATGGTAAGTAATCTTCTGCACTACAATTCTTTGAGTATAGTGTTTTTCAGATCCATCCATGTTGATGCACATATCAGTCATTTGATCCGTTTTATTACTGAGTGATGTTCTAAAGCATGAATATGTGTTTTTGGAAACCTGCTTACATTTTAATTTTTTTAACTATTAGTAATAAAACTCCTGCAGCATACTTATAAAAGTCTATTTACAGGCATATGCTTTCTTTTCTCTGGAATAAATATCTATTATTAGAATTGTTTGATGTGTTTAACTTAAGAAACCATCAGATCATTTCCCAGATTAATTTCACACTGTCTACCCCAAAATATATGCAATTTCTGATTTTTTTTTTTTTAAGATAGAGTTTCACTCTTGTCATCCAGGCTGGAGTGCAGTGCGAGGATCTTGGCTCACTGCAACCTCCACCTCCTGGATTCAAGCGATTCTCCTGCCTCCGCCTCCTAAGTAGCTGGGATTACAGGAACTTGCCACCATGCCTGGCTAATTTTTGTATTTTTAATAGAAACAGGGTTTCTCCATGTTGGCCAGGCTGGTCTCGAATTCCTGACCTTGGGTGATGGCCTATCTCAGCCTCCCCAAGTCCTGGGATTACAGGCAGGAGCCACCGCGCCTAGCCTGTTATCGGTATTTTTAATATCTGCCATTCTGGTGGTTGTGTGGTTGTATCTCACTGCAGTTTTCATTTGCTTTTTCCTGATGACCAATGATATCAAACACACTTCTTCATGGGATATATTAACAATTTGTATGTCTTCTGTTGTAACTTTTCAAATTTTGCCTATTATAACTGAGGTGTTGGGCTCTTTAATATTGTATTGTAGAAATCTTTATATATTTTGGGTGTCAGTCAGTCTGAAATTTGGGCAGAGTTTAAGGTAGACTAAGGGGCAAAATCCTTTGCTTGACATCTTTTTCCCTAGATTTCTTCCCTCACTTTCCAGGTTCTGTGGTCACCTCAATCTCTGTCACCTAGCTCTTCAAGCCAGTGGATACTGTAGAAGCATCCACAGATTCAAGGAAACAGGGATCAAAAATATTCAGGAAAAAAAACAATAAAATTTAGCAACACAACAATAAAAACAACACAAATAAAAAACCCAATACAGTATAAAAACTATTTACATGGCATTTTTATTGTATAAGGATAGAAATAATTTGATGTATACAGGATGATATGCAAAGGTTACATGAGAATTCTATGGCCATTTTACATAACGAACTTGAGCATCCATGGATTTTGATATCCATAAGGGTCCCTGAACCAATTCCCTGCCTATACCAAGGGACTACTGTATCCAGGATTTCTTCATCTAGTTCATGAAGGATATTCATCTGTAGTTTTCTTTCCATATAATTTCTTTGTTTTGGTATTATCAGATTTATGCTGGCCTCATGAAACAAGCCGGAGGTGGGTGGGTGGCTCTTCTCTTTTCGTTTCTGTGTTTATTTACAATTCACATCTTTACTGTTTAAATGTTTAGTAGAATCTATCAATGAAGTAATCTCTTTGTTTTGTTTGTTTGTTTT